GACATTTCTCGAATAACTGTGTACGTTCTTTCAATTACGACTAAATTAAAAAAAATATGTATGATCAACAGTTTATTTAAATATAAATTAACGTAATAATAAGTAAAATGTCATACATTTATTGCTTAATATTACACGAGAGCATACGCATGGATTTATAAAAATTGCTATTTTTATCCTGTACAATTTTAAGTAACACATGAAAATGTGTATTTTTATTCACAAAAACATAATAGAGAGACGCTTCTTAAAATAATATTACTCGTAGGCAGTAAGAAATAAAACGAGTAAAACTTTAGCAACCGACATTCGTATTCCATTCTAAAATTCCAAATTCACTCATTTAAGATAGTTAGACTAACGCATGTATATACGATATTATTGCTATTAAAATACCCTATTATCAGATTTTTTTTAAAATATTTGTAACTAATCTCTAATATACGAGTTTTTACATGTATAAATTTTCATATTGTTCTTTTTATCTTTTTCATAACTTGTCAACAAAAATGTATTAACTTACTGCAATATTGTTTTAAAATAGAGTGTAATGCTGGTTCCTATGGTCAAAACTGCTTGGAAAAGTGTAGTGAGCATTGTTCAGGTAGACAACTGAATTGCTTTACTATCAATGGACATTGTCGATCAGGTTGTAATCCAGGGTGGACTGGCCCACTTTGTGACAGAGGTTAATTTGATTGATTATCTAATTATTTATTCATACATACGTTTCATACAAAGCTTAGGTTAATTCTTAAATATAAACTAAGACACACCCACTTTATAGTCCTTTAAGAATGTTTATTCGGATTTCTATATTATTTATTTGCTTTCGCAAAGGAGATATGGATTAAATGATTTTAGATGATTGCTTCAAAATAAATAAAACACTACGATGCCGTAGATATGTAAAAGCAATCAGGCATTTCTCGAATTATTGTGGTTGTTCTTTCAAATACTACTTAAGTCAATGACATGTGTAATCAATAGTTTATTTAAATACAAATTAACGTTAAGTAAAATGTCATAATTTATTGCTGAACATACTCTTACCACAATTGACAATATATTTATTGGTGTTATCTGGGAAACACTGTAAGCTATCTTTCTAAATTATACCGTCTTGTTTCGGTAATTGTATCGTGTATTGACGTACCCATGCTCAAATTTATATGTACTTTATTACTTTGCACAGATACATACATGTATGAGAATCAATTGAACACATCAACATTCATTCATAAATGGGTCTCAACAATACATTTTGATTTTTTATCACGCATATTTTAAAAAGAGCGCATATGATAATTATGGTCAAATTGTACCTAAACAAACAGCATTTACTATAAATATGATTAGAAAGCAGTTTCTTATTGATAGAGTTAAAATAAAATGTAATGATGATACTTCGATACTTCTTTTTAATCTTCGCAACTAATCTCAAATTACAACATCCACATATATTACTGCATAGAATAATCAAAAATATTTTACAATACGTACTTCCCCTTTTCAATTAGAAAGGATACGTCAAGTAATTAGGAGTCTATAGAATAACTAACCGTCGTCTTAATCGAAACTATTTTAAAAGGGATTTCGTATGCATGGTGTAAAGGACACGGTTATTCTATTAAGAGGTTCGCATATTGCAAAGTAGGGCAGGAAGGTGATAATCGGTCAGCTAAATAATGGCCCTGAGATCTTTAGCCGGGGGATATTTATTTGTGGCTGAATATTTCTTTTTGGCTTATCTATGACTTGTATTTATGTCAAAAATACATTTGTCGATATTAAAGACTTTTGATATTGGTTTTCGTTAAAAATGTTAGAGCCACAGTGAGGCTACCATTTATTGTAGAATCAACTCGCAAGCTTCATATCTCCCCCCGAAAACATTATAACTGCATTTAAGTTAAACTGTAACTTTATAGAACTTATCTGTTCTACAAATCACAATGTCAATGTTCGGGGACGTGATATATGACATTACATTTGACCGCATTAGCAAACGGCCCAATTATGAATATGTATATTTGGCCCCGGACTGAAGTCATATTTGGTCAAATGGCAATTGTTGAACTTGTTACTATATATGTATAGTAACAAGTTATTTTTATGTATGTATCATTTAAACACCCAGCAGGACATTGCAATATATAGAAAGAAAATATCACAGCAAAATGATGTTCGAACTTTTTGTATTATAACGTACAAGTAACAATGAACACATTACCTCGCGATAGCATAAAATACCAATGAACAATCGATCTCAAAAATACACTTTTTAGACGGTACCATATGAAACTATAAGTTAACAATATTAAGTGCATTTTATTTATATGGCAGTAGGTGCGAGTAGTTTTTTACAATTGATAGTTTGGGTTCCGTTCTGGATCGGATTTTGTATGTTGTAAGAGTTTACAACTTTTTCTGTATGTCCCATTTCAAACTTTTAAACGAGAATAAATAAAATATGAAAAGAGAAAGTAGAAATGATCTGAATAATTATAAAGATTTGATGATGCCATTCTCGTTCTGAAATCTGACTTGTGCTACTGTCACCGAGAGATATACCTTTCTTTCGACTTTAAGACTGACATCGGCAGGTATCCAGTGACTTTGTCAGCCTTGAAGTTATTCATCTTGTAATTTATGTTCCTTGAAAATCATTTAATTCCAGTACTTTTTGTGTTGAAGACTGACCATCCGGTAAAGCGGTGCTAGGTAACATGGTAGATGTTGCAATTTACAGACACAATAAAGTCGAGTCAACAATTGTCAACATCTTTCTTTGCTTTCGCTTCTTTGGTGATTTCACACTTACGTTCTTTTTATCATTTTCCGGTTATCTGTAATGTAAACTTGTATTAACGTTTGTATTTAACACATACACGTCTTATATAAGGAATTGATATTACATAATGTTTGTTCTAAACATAGATCGTCTTATGTATCTGCAATGTGAATAATCATAATATTTTATACTTGATAGGATGTAGAGTTGGAACGTTTGGTGTACAATGTGAGGAGAAGTGTCCGTCTAATTGCAAAACTATTTATTGCAACCAAGTCAATGGCAAATGCAACGATGGATGCAAGCCGGGTTATCAAGGATATCATTGTCAAGACAGTAAGTATTATCAGTTTTTTATTATACAGATACACGCTATTTTTGATTTGTTTTATTTAAACATCAATGTTTCGTATATCTTTCTAATTAATTTCTTATGTTTAGTTAGCACCTTTTTTAGGTAGTTTTATCTTTTTCTTTCTGAAATCCATATATACAATAAACTACAAAAGTATTGAATATTATTTACACCCACACCAACACAAACACACATCATTTATACATTATATACACAATATCTTTAGACCGCCTCCGTGGTCGAGGGGTTAGAGTCGATGACTTCTAATCCAGTTACCTCTCTGGCGTGGGTTCGATCCCCGGGAGATGCTTTGGTAGTTTAGCGCGGAGGAAGGTAGTCTAGTACTAGTGTAACTCTCCATGAACGATGGTTAGGAAACTACCCGCCTATATGACTGAAATACTGTTGAAAAAGGCGTAAAATGAAGCAAAACAAACAAACAAACAAACAAAATATCTTTACACGTACATGTTTTTTCGATGATATCTTTTGCTAAAAATTATTACGTCACTTCATAAAACTGGTGCTCAACTAACTATTCGATATCTAATTTGTTCGTAATTGAAATCGAAATAAAAATAATAAATATCACATCTTGATTCGAGACTTGTAAGGGAATGAAACAAAATTGTGAACTCAAAGGTTGATATAGATGAACATTTAAGCTATGGAAAATGCTTATTATTGATACCAATATCAAAATTAATTATCGTGGAAGTATTATCGGGCAGTAATCATGGCAGTTGCATGATAACAAAATAATGCTGACCAGGCTAATGTTGTCGGTCAAGCAGTTGCCAGGGCAAATGTTGCCTGACAAAATAAGTTAATGTATTGAGGTGTGTGTTTTTTCCCAAATACGTTTGTTTTATCTATTTCTTGAATAGATTTACTCTGGCAGTCAAGTTTGCCTTTTTATATCATTGGTAAATCTAGCTGTAATTGAAATGTCAAATTCTGTTTTATTTTCATCTGTTTATATTTGAAAACGTTTTACTTTGTTATTTGTGAACAATTTCTTTGATTCTAACGGTTTTACAAACTTTTTACAATAATCGTAAAGAAATCTACAAGTGTAACTTAATCTATACATACAAAACCTAGAATGACGAGCTGGCAAATTGTGTATACGATGTCAGGAGAACTGTCCATTAAATTTCTAGCATGGTATAAGCTAACATTTCAACGGGTATTGTAGTAAAGGGTGTGATCTGGGTTACCAAGGAAGTGAGTGTACAGAAAGTTAGCTTTCTTATATCTTGTTGTATTCTTGTAATATCATGTTGTGTAATATATGTATTGTTACGATACATATTTTATATTTTGGTATGATATCGTGTTTTACCAACTATAACTCTTTCGATATCATCATTTATTGTAATTATACCAGTAAATTATTAAAAGTTTTGAAACTCATCTAAAAATATGGTTTTCTGTAATAAAGAAACTCTTTTAATTGGAACTGTCTTAAATCGGTTAAATTGTAGTACACTTAAATTATATCATTGAAAGATTGTCAATTGATTATAGAAGTGTACAAAGATTGTCAATTGATTATAGAAGTGTACACATTTCACATTATTGTTATGATTCCTTCGACAATGGTTACTAATTAATAATATTTAGAATGTAATAACGGTTACTATGGTGATAAATGCGCCAACCAATGTAATACTAACTGTAAAGAGGGGGACACAATATGTAGACATACAGATGGAGAATGTTTGAATGGTTGCCAGGCAGGGTGGAATGGTAAAAGATGTGATTCAAGTAAGTTTATGGAATTTTCGAATGTGGTTAAAGTGTTTTTATCTTGACTACCATAATTTTTTATTTTTTTATTTTGATTTATCTTTTTTTCTGAGTAAACAAAGGTTCAAATTATTTCTGTTTTCTAATGTTCCTTACATCACTGAAGAACATTATTTATATTAAAAATATTCAAATTTATTGCCTTAATAAAAACTTACCTATTCTTAATGTATATGGAATCCTTAACACACTTGGAAACTTTTTATGTTGCTTTTATATACTTCCAAAGTTTCTCAGACTAAATGTTTTTCATTCACTGTTTTCGAAAATTAAAGCCCATTAGTTTTAATATATATACAATGTATTTCATCCTTCCTTTATGGCAAATCATTTCTGTTGAATTTAAAATTAAATTATCTCATGTGGATCATTTTTTCAGAGTACTTGCATATAATTTTACGTGAGAAACTGTTTGATTTATTTATGTACAATTACATCTGAATACTGTGAACATTTTATCGTATTATTTAACGAGAAATAGCCCTGTGTCGTGTGAAGATGGCCGCCTGTGTAAATTAAGACTTCTTTATTATATGCATTTTGAAAGGCAATCGCTTCATTATATTGTCATTAATAGAATGTATGCCCGGAAAGTTTGGTCCAGGATGTAAGGAGAATTGTCCTTTAAATTGTAATGCCGATGTATGTGGCTATATCAATGGCAATTGTAATGAAGGTTGCAAGCCGGGTTTTCAAGGAAACAAGTGTAATGAAAGTAAGTTGGTCGCCTTATTAATTTCTTGTCAACCAGCAGCATTGATTTCTATGCTGAATTAATTAAGGACTGAGTATTGGGTAAGCAAAAGTTCTATGACAAAAGGCAATTTTACATTTGTATTTATCTATACAAATACACGTGCAATTTTCACATTATACGTTTCCAGCTGACATGAAAACAAAGTGCTCAAAGATTTTGTAATGGCACTTTGTCTGTCATCGGTTATCCGCCGTTCAAGGTTGTCCACAATTCTCCCTAAACATTCATCCTTAACCACTCAGCGGATTTGGACTTTACACCACCAACCGCTGCTGAAATCCTGAAGTCAAACTTAAGCAAAATGTGCAAATGGGCAGATTATGGGTTTGTCAATTTCAATCCGATTAAAACCGAATCAATTCTTATTTCTAATAAGCATCAATCCACATAATCATCAACCTTTTTTTATGAATGATATTTAAATATCTGAATTAGAATCCCATAAACACCTTAGAGTTACGCTATCTAAAAAATGGGTCCGGGTGTGAACACATTTTAAATATCAAACACAAAGCTTGGCAAAGGATCAAAAGCATGCGGAAATTAGATTGTACCATAGATATATAGAATCTAGAAACTGTTTACTTCACCTTTCTTATAGAGAAAGCAAGAATCCACAAAGAAAGTCCAACACAACATAATTGAAAATGTTGAGGCTCGGTTTGATTGAGCCTGTTCATGGATGGTACTTTAAAGTGCAAACTACCGTCCATTATTAGAGGTTTAAAGCCTATGCCAGTTATAGCGTATGCAGACGTCGTATGGGATCAAAAGACACAAAACATGCATTGGAACAGATCTAGTTGGAACTGCTCTACACCAAATTAGTCTCACTATCAAACTTTGACAAGAAACTGGTCTTGAAATAAGAAAGATGTTGCTGGATCGTGTGTGGGTTGCGTTCATTGTTCCTTGTTGATCTTGTTTATCATATTTTTAAACCAAAATTTATAAAGTACTATAAAATGACAAACTTCCTGATAACAACACTAACATTGCACGGATCATGGTCAGTTAAATCAGCTAAAAGGGCATATTATACAGCAACTAGAAATATATTTGATAAAAAACTACGCCAGTGTGAACGCGCTTACAAACTTTTGTTTGCTGCTGAAGCTGCGTTGCCAAGAAAATTCAGATGGATAAATATGCTTCAATACTGGAATGAATAAATGAACATAGACGACAGAGATTACCTACATTTTGTTTTGATCTGTGCCAAAATAATTGGCCTTACGATAAAAGACAAAAAATGAAATTACTGGGTATTAGAAACTATTTTACAGAAAAAGACAAGTTTATTTATCTAAACTAACAAATGAAAAGATACAAAGTATGTTTACCGTACAATGGCATACAAATGTACAAAGTAGCCAAAAATTAAAATCATACTAACTATTTAATACAAATTTTTAACACGAACACTATATAGTGTTTAGAGTAGCATGAAGCACAGTGGCGGTGTGGGATTTTTCCCCTTAAGAGTTGGAACATAATGTTTTATCGGCCAACACATAAAACAGAGAATATGTACATTTTGTGACCAAGGGAATTAGAAAATGAAGTACATATTATCGTAGAAAGCACAACATATGATAATATAAGACAGCAATTGTTCGATAACTTTTTGACATATCCATCTTATATCAATAGAAATAAGGAGGGTAGGCTGACATTGTTTTCAAAACATGAAATAAAAATGCTTACAAAGAAGCAACATATATTTTGAAAGCTTTTATGTATAGGCGAAGCCTTATATACCCGTAGTGATTAAAATAGAACAAATAATATAATTATATATGTAAATCATCAATTTTTAAAGCCATAAATGACTCATATATTTGTTTGCTTAATCTTTATATCTTACTTGATAATATACCATTTGCTGAAAGCAAGTCTTCGAGATAATTTAGATAATATAACATGCTTATTTTCTTATTCCATATAAACATTTGTTTTTAAATAATTGATGACATTTTGGACTTAAAATGTCTAAGACATTAGAATCTACATTACCAATATCTTTATTTAATTTTGAACAATTTAAGATTGCAAATATTTCGATTAAAATTTCGATGTCATCGGTACATTTCTAATAAAGTAATAAATAAGGAGGTACATTTAGTAGGGACCCTATTAAGAAAAAAATAAAATTGTTAAAACACAAACTTTTGAAATAACGTAATTTTCTGATCTTGATGTCAATAGTAATATTATCTGTAATCAAGACCACTCAGCTTATCATATATTTAGTCCACCAGGTTCAGTCCCAATTATTCTTTTAATTGTCCTTGCTATTGAAACACCTTTAATCCAGTCAACACCAAAGTTAATTTCTCTGCATTTATGTTTTGTGAGGAATTTATTCGTATGTGAATTATGTACATTATTTAATGAATACGATAAATGACAATTTGATCTTTGATATGTTCTTCTAGTAAACAGAGTATTAAGTTTAACATCTTTCAATAGTAGTTCATGTATATGATGCATATTGTTTGAACATGATCATACAAAATGACCAAACAAGACCTTGATTGCAATGTGTGCCTTCACTTCTTTTGCTCAGTGCAGTTGGTGGTCTTGACTTCAAGGTTGTTGTTATATTTAGAGTCACCCATATTAATGATACTGATAAAGTTATGAATTTGTTTCCAAACGGGTGATTACATCAGTACGCTGTTAATTGTTTTATGTTGCAGATTTAGAAATTATTTAAAATAAGCATTTAGAAAACTACATTTATAATTGTGTCTATGTAACCTTAGAGTGCCTAGCTGAAACATATGGTGTAGGATGTAAGGAGAATTGTTCAGTAAATTGCAAAAATGGTGTTTGCAATCAAGTCAACGGCAATTGTAGTGAAGGGTGCATTCCGGGTTATCAAGGAAGAAAGTGAGAAGAAGGTAGGCCAGCACTTGGTAAAGAATATAGTTAAACGGTGGCGATCATTATGTATCTACTGTAATTAACTTGATATTAAAAGTTTAAGCATTCGATGTTATAAGTAATCATTTACCTGTACATTATGACCTCTTTCTCATATCTACTTTGTATTATTATTATTATTATTGTTATTATTATTATTATTATCATTATGGAGCAATATTTACTTAAATGTTTAGTAAACGTTTAACCAAAGGAGTGGTTTGTTTTAAAGATGATCCGTTATATTGGTCAAACAAGATTGTTTTTTAAGATTTTACTCACTTAGAGTATTTGCATTTGTGTAATATTTACATTTATTACAAAATTGACAGTAAATTGATATATTAACATTTTATTTCTGGACTATTTAAACAATGTTTAGTTGCTAATAATCTTTAGAATGCAGTAGTGGTAATTATGGTGATAATTGCGCCTATCAATGCAGTGGTCATTGTAAAGAGGGAAACATAATATGTAGACATACAGATGGAGAATGTTTGAATGGTTGCCAGGCAGGATGGAATGGTACAAAATGTGATTCAAGTAAGTTAATGGAATTAACAAATGTGAATTTCATTTGACTTTCATGTTTTGTTATTCTATTTAAAAAATAATAAACATCATTTCAAAATATCTCAATTTTCCTCATTATCATACATCATATATATGTAATTCCAAATAATTTCAACACCGTTTGAAATCTTTTTGTAAGTTTTATTCTTATGATAATAATAATTATTATTATTTTGTATCGCTTGCCCACACAGTTGAAATAGAAATATTTACTTATCAAGAAATAACATCCATAAGCTATTTTGATTTTACCGTCTTTTCATAATAAATCATCATTGTCCCATATGCAAGCAGAAATACGGATACTCAAACACACTTATATCAAAACAATTTCATTTGTTGTCATTGTTTATGTCATAGCATAATATTTTACGACAGAAGTCACTTTTCATTATATGCTGACCACGTTATAAACACATGAAATCCTTGTCTAAATATTATCAATGATGTAAGCTGTGTAAAATTCATTTGGATTTTCAGGTTAAACATCGCAATGAACAATTAACAAACAACAGTATCTTTAAATCATTAAATCATAACAAATATGTGACGATACTACTTAAACAAGACTATTTGACAGAACATTCGTATTTCAGAGATAAATAATATAATACAGAGACAGGGTGTGTCGGGCGTGTTTATTTACTTGTACTGTGTATTGTGTGTAAAAACGAAAGAGAAAATTGCACGAATTTTCTTATTATATAGACAAGTATTGTATGTCTGTTCACGATATACAAATTAACATTCAACCAATTTCACTGGATTTAAGAAAATATTTATAATTGCACAGAACAGGCATTTTTTACGTTTTACTCCTTTTTATTTCTGTGTATAAATTATCAGTTTCTAGTAAATTATGATAACAATAAACTACATGTACATAAGTTATTTCTTTTTAAATGAATATAACTTGGTGGATATGATAATATTCAGATATTTGTATAATATTGCACGAAATGTCTATGATTGTTAAAATTGTTATAAACTTACTATTTTTAAAGGATAATTGTTGTCTTTTTTGTTTATTTTCTTGTTATAATTACATCCCAGTATCCAGTGGTATCTTTTTTTCTGACTACTTAAAAAGGTTTAGGGACATTTGGCATATCTATCATTTTCCTATCTATAGTTTTCCTGGCTTCTTCTGGATGGATGGTTCCAGTATTCATAACCGTCACCCTATTGATATGTTGCATGTTTTTCATATTTGATAGATTTTGAAATTCAGACTACTTCAAAACCTCTAATCCCTTTCAAAATTATATTTAGCAAAAGCCGGTGCTAGGAACAATGAACGAAAGCTTGCATTTTGTCAATGAACAGACACAATTAAACAGTAAAATAAGGCTCTTCAACATTCACAATTTTAACAACTTGGACGTTTTCAAGGACAGATGGTTTTGTTGTACTTGATATAAATGAACATTATTTCCCTTTTATAAACTTAAAACACGCGTCTTATTAAAAGAGGTTATGACCCAATTATTAAAAAGCATATCGCATGCCTGATGATCAACCATTTAACACTTGGACGCTACGCTTACCTCTTTTGATTACATATGACGGACTAAGTGGAAGACTCTATGATGGAATTTTTTAAAGCCCTTTGGGATTACAACGTTTTTTTTCCGTTTCCCCGCTATTTCAACTTGTTAATTTTCGACTTTTCCTCTTGGCGGGGTGGCGGGGTAAAAACACAATGATCGTTTTCTGTCTTGCTTCGTCGGGCCATTTTCGGTTATTTTCTGGTCCCTTCCTTTAAGGCATCGAGTATTTTAGATATGGATTTTACGCTCTACCATTTGTATATATTTGACACAATTATGTATGTGTTTTATTTATTTCGTCTATTGTAACCTTAGTCATTGTTAGAATTTCACTTGGCGGGGATTCGTATTATTATGCCATCGTAGCATCTGCGATGCGGTGGTATATAGCAATTCACTTGTGTGTGTGTGTTTGTACGTGTGTTCTATAGATTATTTGGTGAACTTAAAAATCTTCTTGTGAAAAACCACTAATCCAATTTCAACCAAACATGGCAGGATTCATCCTTGGATGAAGGGCTTCCAAAGTTGTTCAAAGAATTTCATTCAATGCAGAAATATAGTAAGGAATTATAAGAATGAATTTAAAAAATCTTCGTGTAAAGACCCAAAAAGCTTAGAGCTTAGATATTCTGCATAAGGCATTGTCTGTTAGACCTCTACCAAGATTGTTCAAATTATAGCCCTGTTGTCAAAATCGGCCTCGCCCGGGGGTCATTGATTTTCATTATACGTACATATGGTAAAAACTTAAAATACCTTTTTGTCTGAAGGTACAAGGCTTAAAGGTTTGATATTTTGTATGTGTTATTATCTATAGGTACTCTACCAAAGTTGTTCAAAAGTTGCTTTTAGTGTCAAAATCAGCCCTGCGCCGGGGGTCATATGTTTTCCTTAAATGTATATCGTAAAAACTTTTAAAAAATCTTCCTGCAATTTACAAATGCTAGGGTTATATATTTTGCATGAAATACTGTGTAGTGAACCTCTACCCAGATTGTTCAAATTATAGCCCTGGGGTCAAAATTGGCCCGCCCCGGTGTCATTGATTTTCAATATGTACATATAGTAAAAAATCAAAAAATCTTATTGTCTGAAGGAACAAGGCTTCGAGATTTAATATTTGTTATATGATATCATCTATAGGTACTCTACCAAAAGTGTTCAAATTTTTCCCCTAGTGTCAAAATTAGCTTCGCCCCGGGGTCATTGGTTTTCCTTATATGTATATAGTAAAAAAATTAAAAAATCATCTTCTCTTAATTGACAAAAGCTAGAGGTTAGATACTTTGCATGAAACATTGTGTAGTGAACTTCTAGCAAGATTGTACAAATTATAGCCCTGGGGTCAAAATTGGCCCTTTCCCCGGGGGTCATTGATTTTCACTCTGTATATATAGTAAAAAATTAAAAATCTTCTTGCCTAAAGGTTCAAGGCTTAGAATGTTGATATTTGGTATATAAAATCACCTTTGGGTCCTCTACTAAAGTTTTTTAATTATGGCCCTAGTGTTAAAATTGCCCTGCCCCAATGGCGATAGTTTTCCTTATATGTATAAAGTAAAAACTTCTTCTCTGAATTGACAAAGGCTAGAGGTTAAATATTTGGCATGATACTTTGCGAAGTGAACCTCTACCGAGATTGTTCAAATTATAGCCCTTGGGTCAAATTTGGTTACGCCCCGTGGGTCATTGATTTTCATTCTGTACATATAGTAAAAAAAATCTTTTTGTCTGAAGGTACAAGTCTAAGAGCTTTGATGTTTGCTATATAATATCATCTATAGGTCTTCTACCAAAGTTGTTCAAATTGTTCCCCTGGTGTCAAATTTGGCCTTGCCCAGGGGCTATGTACACATAGTTAAAACAGAAACTATAACAAATGTTTTCAGAAATGGAGAAAGCTACAACTTAGAGATTTGACTTATAATGTTGTTTGGTGGACCTGTATCAAGATTGTTTTGAATTAAACCCTTTGGTCAAAAGTTTGCCTTGCCCAAGGGGACAGTGACCTACTTTCTTGTCCTTTGATGTACAGCAATGAAATTTTGACCACGTGCACAGTTTTAGTTTTAAAATTTAACATTGATCTCACGTTACCTAGATTATGATGATGTGACCGACTGTGTTTTCCTTTAATGTACAGCTATGAAATTTAAACCATTGCACAGAATAAGATGTTAAAGACGTTTTCGGTAGTTTTCTGTGCGCATCGTTATGCGCTTCCAAGAAAGATAATCACGGATAATTACTCTTCAAAATGAAGGTCAAGTTGAATAGTATTCGGATAAGTGTTTAAATTTCGGCTATAAGCAAATAATGAGTAAATAATACAGAATAGATATTTCTAAATGTTCAAAAGGAGATCGGTTCAAAAAGAATAAGAGGTCGTTTAGACAACATCACATAAAGGATTTCTCCAAGCATTAGTAAAGACAGCATTGATGATAATTCTGCGCGCGTTACCCCACCCACTTGTGGTATAGTGACGAAAGTGCGTCGCGACTTGATTACTGGCAGACAACTGGGCAAAGAAGTTTAAAATGATATATTTTTAAAGTATTGAATAAAAAAAAAATTATTATCTAAGAAATGTTCCGAATTTCATTATTTTCTTTGTAAATTTCTGAATACTTGCTTACTGTTCGGGTATGTTAGTGAAAAAAATAATATGGTCCTAGATATGTTTTAAAAAGATATTCAGTATCATTTACTTAATATAACATCAAAAGAAAAAGAAATTTTTATTAAAACATGTTTTTGTTGTATATTTGACAATACATTTAGTATAACACTGATATTTCTTAAGAAAGCGTTGTAATTTTGACAATTATGGGGTAACCATGCGGTAACCATGGAAACTGCCCTTTTACAAAAAAACTAACACGTCAACATATATATTTTATTTCTATTTTTGAATCCACCACCAAATGTTACTTGATATATTAATAATGTAGAAAATTCTTTGAAAGAAATTTCTTGATAGTTTTAAATTTTTACAGAATTCATGTTTATTTTTTTCATTTTTTGTTTACTTAAAAAGCATGAAAACTCATTTTTTAAAGAAATATGTTCCAATTATCGTTTGTTTTATACAGAACCCTAAGATAAAGTAAGCTTTGTATAAAATTATGTTTATTGTGAGTGTTATAAGCTTTTTTATACATTATTATAACACAGTTTGGCTTTTTTGACAATTTTGAAATATACGGTTACCATGGAAACTGCCATTTTTCAAAAATCCAACACGCCAACATATATTTTTCTTTTTCTTTTTGAATTTGTCATTAAATTTTACACAACATACAAAAAAATTAGAAAATCCTATGAAAGACTTTTTTCAATATCTCTAATTATTCCCAGAATTCATGTTTATTTTTCTCATTTTTTGTTCGGTTGAGGAACATAGAAAACTCATTTTTTAAAGAAATATGTCCAGATTATCATTTGTTTCATACAGAATCATTAGATAATGTTATCTTTGCATAAAACAATGCTCGCTGTGTGTTTTAAGCTATCTTATACATTTTCTTTTCTTTATAACACAGTTAGGCTATTTTGACAGTTTTTTGATATACGGTTACCATGGAAACTGCCATTTTACAAGAAATCCAACGCGTCAACATATATTTTTCTTTTTTTTTAAATTATTCATTAAATTTTACTCATCATACAAAATTTAGCAAATTCTATGAAAGGATTAATTTTTCATAAAACTGTAGAGAATGTCTTTCAGTGAACTTTGATATCAGCTGACCTAGATTTTGACAAAGTGTCTTACTGTGTTGTCCCTTGATGTAGTCATAAAATTGAGGTTGTGTGAAATATGGCCTTCACCACCAAATTCACTAGACTCAACTGCGTTAAGATATTCCTACTCTGATCTTAAATTTGAATATCAATAGACTTGACCACTAATCTTATAATAACAATTAGATAGGTCAGGGATCTATCAATTGTATAGAAACATAAGAAATATGTTCATACACTACTATTTAGTGTTGTATTAATGCGATGGCATAAATGTTTCACAAATGCAATTTTGTTTACGCTGTATTGTCATATAGGAACATATTGGGGTTAAGAGTGAGGTTTGGCACGCCTAAAACCGGTTTTAACTCGCCAGTGGTGTAACTGCCACTGACTGTTCCAAAGCGGTACCCCTCTATTTTCCTTCCCGTGTTTCCCATGTGTGTATTGTTATATGTTTTAATTGTTTGCATGTTTTTATGATGTTAACCTTGTTGTATTGTCGTTAAATGTAAGTATTTTCTTATTTTCCCCTCATTTTGCCGCCCTTGTTTTCTTTTACAATTCTCGTTTGGTGCTTTCTGAGTGCCCTGCTGGTGTTGCTGTGATGTGTTGGAGACTGCGTCATGGGAACGCTTCTTTTTCATTGTTTATCTTCATTTTCATTTTCGAGGAAGGTTACCGAATTAAAGAGAATTCTTAAATATTCGAGTAAGAAGGAGTAATGTCTTAACATGTTAATGCAACAACGTTTTACATGTCACAAAAATGATTTACTCATTCCCTGAACCGAAATCAAACAAACAGGCAGACCAAAAGATACAAGTAAATATTATATATAACTCCCGATTTTCTCTAATTTACTGTTTAAGTACTATTGTGTTGTTTTTAATTTGTGTTTTTTACAATCAATCATTTTATATTCAACATATAAGTCATTTCATCAAACTTAAAAAATCTATACTGAATCAGGTATACATCTAAAAATAGGAATAACTTAAAATGGCAGATCACAAGCCCCAACACAATTATTTTTTTATAAATTTTTTATAACTTCCAACAATTTATCCGTGTGCAAAATTCAGAATAAATGTAAGTCTGTCCTAATTTATAAAACAGTAACTTCCTTATAATGGCTTTTTTTTTCACAAACTAAAATCTACAATTTTCAGAATGTTTTGATTGCAGTAAAAAGTAAACATGTATGTCTAACCTACGACTCAACAGTAATAAATATAATAAGAAATCAGTATAACAACTGACATAAAAAACTGAAATATGTCGATTTGAATTCTTGCTAACCAAATCAAACTATCATATTTGAACACTCAAAATGTATGTGTAATCGTTAGCAAGCAGGACACATTGTTATTGTAAAATCAACTAAAACTAAAGTAATAATAGTTTTATATTTATGCGTTATGTAACATCATACTTCTGTTAATTAATTGCCGATCATGGTATGTCAAATTACATATGAAATACAAAATGTTAAAAATTTATCAATTTTACTCTATTATATTGTAAAACAAAATCAATGATAATATTGTTTGACGTAGGACAAGGATATAGTACTTACACTGAAACATGTTTTTATAACTATCGTTTGTTTCAACAATTGAGATAATATATATTTTTTACAGTTTCAGACAAGGTTTTAAGTGATACAAAACCGTGTACCATGTCATGAAACACCAAAGCTGAAAATAGTTTTGATATGTGTCGGAATCCTTTGTGCCATTCTTGTTGTGTACGCTACAGTAATAACGATCATGTTTAGACGTAAGACGACGCATAACAGTGAGTTGTTTTTATGAGTTAAATAGCTTCTCATCTAAAAGCTTATATAAACTATGCCAGAAAACTTAGCAAAACTTTATTAAGATAAACCCATGTATAAACAATGAACAAAAATCCCTTACGGAATAAAAACCAAAGATTATTTTTTAAATGTTTTGAAGACCAATACATTAATGCACTTCCAGAATTTAATATTGTATCAGTTTAAAGGCGACATATGTGAATAGATATTTTTGGGTTTTCACAATATTCATTTTTTTTTATTTTATTTATTTCATGTTAAAGTAAAAGATGGGACTAATGTCAGTTGCAGGGGAAGGTAAATTTATCGTTCCTTAGCTCATATGTTATTATAAGATATACATGTTTCGCTTGATACTGATATCTAGTAAGATTTGTCTTTGGTATTAACATCTAACAAGAACGTAGGTAAATTATTGGTCTTATATAACATAAGTTTTTTATAATACGAAAGATCAATTTGATTTGTAACATGAAATTAACCAATATTTTTGAATGAGTAAAATGTAATGAATATAACTTCATCAATCTAATAAAATGAAAGTTGTTGTCTTTCCCTAACACCCATGTCCCGATTTCCTTTTATATGACTTCACCTTGTTTACACATGAATCTATCGTCAACAGACATAACTGTGCTTCAATCCAGTTTTAACTTAAAACCTTAATCTTGCATTAACAATCCATTTAATCAATACTTAATCTAGCAGTTTCTTTTTATTTGAGTTTAATGGTCCTTGAGAAATGTTGTATTCTATTTTAGATGCTATGATGATGCTAATGCAAATGAAACTGTAACAGCTGAAGCAGCAACAGAACAAGCAAGAGTTGACGATGAATATCATCAATATACAGATCTTACTCCCGATACGAGAGATGTCGGAGCAACATATGAAACTATTCAACTTGAATGACTATTACTATAAAATAAGTATTCAAGAACGTGTTTCGACAAGGTGTTAAGTGTACTCCTTTATAATCCAATAAATTGTTTAATCCTTCAGATTTGATATGACAATGATACGTCTTTAATAGGACATTGTTTTTTAAAATATAATATACGTTGCGTTGAAAATTATGTTAAAACAGCCACCAGGATTGTGACACACTTCACTATCATTTAAAAGTGTCGTAAAATTAATTAATCATTTCATATTATTTATTTAGGGTTGATTAATAATATTTGACTTAAATTAAGCATTCCAATCCGATTATTTTCGGCATTATATATTTCTCCAATCGGTTTTCTTATTGTATGAGATTGTGAAAAGTATGTGTTTAATATGTATTTTAATGCGTTATCTTAATTAATCAATTTAAGCATTTTTCGAAACAATGAAAAGGGTTTTTTCCATTTATTGTAACTGGCAAAAGTTTCGACTGGAATAAACCCTAACTGGATATTTTACCAATTGGATTTTTTTCAATAATTGTTTGAGAAATACATTATATCGGAATTAATTCAAATGAAAATTAATCCTATTTGAATTTTAAAAGATATACTTAAGATAGGTTTTTGTATTATCCAGACTAAATAAAGGTAAAATGCATAGGTTTGTACATAAAAATGACCGTTTCACAGCATTGTTGGAATAATTTCAAATATTATTTTCTTTATGCTGATTAAAATAATGTACTGATAAATTGCTGTCTTCTTGCGGATAAAAAGAGACATATCACGGACGTTAATCTATAGGGCAAGCAAAATATTAGAAACTTCAGACTTAGATTTAACAAAGCTTTTGACTGAAACTTATATTAAAATTGTTTTGTATAAACAACCAGTTTTGATATGTACTTCGCTTATGACATCAATCAAGGATGTCGCCCTATAATTATTAGGGTTGAACACATTACCTTTTTATGAACAGGTATAAATACACATTGACACCATTTTTCTGGGAATATTTTAGAATTGAATATCTTATTAAATAATTTGCACATATAAGGGAGTAAAGTGTCTAAACCAAAAACGATAAGTGAAGGTATTAGTGTGCCACCTGTTGCATTGTTAAATTATTTTTTTTTAATTTCTAGCTTCGTTATTTCACCCTAAGATATTAGGCTATTAAAGAGAAAGGTCTCAATCTCACCTAAATAATCAATTCATCTAATTACCATCTTTTTATAAATGTTCACCAATACCTCAATCAATATCAGCTACAGAAAACAAGTGTCTATAGTGAGTAAACCAGGTATCCATACTTATCTACTATAAGGTAAATGTCAGTTACGTTTTTTATATATTGTTTATTTTCTCTCGCGGTTTTGGGGCTATGAATGTTCAAATCAATATCAGCTATAAATTATTGTGGCTGAATTGTGCCATTCGTTTTTTGGTCTGAAGACCCCGCCAAGCGAAAACCCGAGAATAAACAAGTTAAAATGGCGGGGGCGCGGGACGAAAACACGCTTATAAGCGGTAGTTCGGGGCGAAGTCTAATAAATAAAACTTCGCCAGTAGGGGTGCAGAGCGAGGTTTAAGAAATAAAACGGCGGGGGCGCGGAGCGAAAACACGCTTATAAGTGGGGGCGGGGCGAAGCTTAATGAATAAAAAGTTTCAAGTCGGGGGGCGCAGAGCGAGATTTAAGAAATAAAACAGCGGGACGCGAAGCTAAAACACGCATATTATCACGGACGCGGGGTGAAGTTTAATAGATTAGCGTGTTGTCGTCCCGCGATCCCGCTAAGCGGTAAGTAGAGAATAAACAAGTTAAAATGTTGGGGGCTCGGAACAAACACACGCTAACTAGCAGGGACGCTGATTGGTGTGTATCTCATGAGTTTTATTTTCTAAATATCGCTCCGCGCCCCCCTCGGGACGAAGTTTTGTTTATATTTATATATTATTTATAAAACTTCGCCCCGCACCCCGCTTATTTGCGCTTTTTGCTCCGCCTCCCAACCATTTTAACTTGTAAAATTCTCAAATTTTCGCTTGGAGGGGTCTCGGGGCAAAAACACGAAAGGTACAAATCAGCCACCATAATAAACTATTTTTCATATGCATTTGTTTGTCTACATATATTTTATATGAATTCGTGTTGTCAATATAAATGTTAAAATAATCCAAACTTTATCTGAATTTTCGCCATACAAACCTACAAGCTTTAAAGCTCAACGCCTCCAGGTGAGCCAAAATATTTCAAGAAATTCAATCTGTAGACAAATATATAAATATATCTTAAGAAAATTAAAATGATTCAATATCTAATTAGTTATTTACATGTAATGTGCGATTAATGGCGGATTTTGCAGTATCAATCACTATAATTTTACTGCGTAACTATTGCAGTAAGAGGTATTTTCGTATGTTTTGGCCTCTTTTTTACAATTTATGTGGATTGTTAGTGCCGTTTGCAATGTGTAAATTACTTTATTTGTTCACTTCACAATATTTTACTTTGAAATACATTTTCAAACGTTTCATCAAAAATTAGCATGAACCTGGATGCATGCTGCTTTAAGGGTTGTTTTACATTCAACACCAAAGCATGCTCTATATTGTAGTCTATTGTTTTTATGATCATTACAAAACCTGGCAACCTTCTCAAATTCATAAACTAGTATATTCACATCATTACAGTGTTCAAACTGTAAGTCTAACCTCTCAAACAGATCTTGCATCTTTGCACCACCGAGAGTAGATGATTATACAGAATTACCATTATCATTGAAATTATATGTTGTTTTGAGAACTTTTTCAATCTTTTTGTCTAAGGTAGTATAAAGTCGCCCTGGGCTCCTGGCCGCTGCTCCTTGTTGCTTGGTCGTGTGGGGTATGCGTTCATTGAATGGTGATTTTCTGGAGGTGAATATAACGTGACCAATAGCACATTCTTTTCATTTATCATAAGCATTTCACCATACTTTCATTTATCACATATCCTTTGAACATATCTAGTCAGCTGGTTTTCAATCATAATTACAATTCCACCTATGTTTCCTGCAGACATGGAATTCAGAAATAGATTAAACACATTTTCAAATATTTCAACATGTTTAACCCTTCGATATTTGAAAGCTGTGGTAGTGTCTTTACTTGACCTTGATCGTTATCCTATTGGGTTTATCAATAGTGCCCCTTTTGATAATGATATATTTTAAACAATGTCTAATGATTATGCACCGCTTACAACACTGACATAACTTTGACAATTGACGTTTATGAATCTGTTTTTGGTATCTCTTTTTTTTATTATGTATTAGTTATGAATATGTTTAACAAAAACAATAACAGTAGTAGGTATAGTATCAGTATAATATCAAGCTTCAAACTATTATTCTTCTGATCAATTAAAATGCTTTTGCATATGTTTTATTAATTGAAGAAACCATCACAATATGTTGTCTGTTCATCAAAATATGGACTATACTTTATATCTTAGGGGATGTTTGTGATGTAGTGGTTTGCGTTCACACGTTGAATATAAGCTATGATCCCATCGGTATATAATGAATAGAATATTTTCTATTTCGAGAAATATGTTACATAGAAACTTTGTTGGTTTGTTTGTTTCATATAAGTATATGTATAAAGTTTCCGGTCTCATATTATAAAGTTTATGCCGTGGTTTTGGTTTTCATATACAGATAGCATCAGATTATTGCAATGAATACTAGTATTTGATTCATTTTAGTTTTTTTTAACAAAACGTTGCTTCAGGTGTCAGTTAATCTAGCCGGTCCTAACCACTGCCAGATGGAGTAAAAACACTCTTTGAAAAGAGAATAATTTATGATTCTTTTTCAATATTTTGTATGTCTCCTCTCAGTTATTTGTCTTGATTTGATTGCTCTCGAGGAGGGATTTCTCCTTTAAGGATTGTCGATTTAAGTCAAACAAAATCTCTTAAATAAGCTGAAATATTTTTCATGTTAAATTTGTTATGTTCAACAACGGATCATTATAAAGAATAATTATTCAATATACATTTTTTTGCAATTCATACCTTACCATAAAGACTGAATATAAGTTACACTTTCAGAAGCTGTTTACAATGTTAGTCAAGTTTGTTTAGCTTACATTAACAGTCATAAATTAAATTTGGTTTTTAGTGATAATTAGATAGATATGATTAAAAATTAATCCGTTAAATGTTGTATGATCAATTATACAATCACTAGTCAGGAGTATTAACTACTTAACCATGCCGTTTTTGCATCAGTATACTGTTTATACCCACAAATCATGTGGGTGTCTATCAATTTGTATTACATACTTTTTTTATTGCTTCCGATGCGTTCTGGTCATTCATGTAAAGAGCCTTATAACTAACACTTTCAGTTTACGAGATTTATTCGTATATATATAGTCTAGGATGTATATACAACGTTATTGATATGTTTATGTAAAAAATGCATGTATGAATTTATAAATAAATATATAAGTTACATAAGTAACGCTTTTCATTGAATGGCACTACTGGCACATTGAAGGTTCCATATTATCCGCCGTATGGACAAATATGCGATTGTTTCTCAGTTACACATTACAAAATTTTCGTGTTTAATTGTTGAATTCTGCTAAAGACGCTAGGGGGTGTACTCGATCAGATCGGGAAAATATATTATTGAGTATAACGTAAATACAAAAAAAATTACGTCTTGTATAAAAATCTCAGGTTATATTAAGAATCAATGTAAAACTGTTTGCCTCTTTGTCAAATAGTTTCCTCGGTTGTCGGTTATTAAATTTTCTAATCAATTTTTAGCTAAAAGTCGACCGCACTCGTTTTAAGGAATACTTGTGACACCTCTACTTATATATTGGATACTTTCCTATATGTTAATGTGCCACCTTTAGTTTAATTATATTGTAATGTTCATTTTGAGTATAATGACGTTCTACCAACGTCGTGACAATAATCAGAATATTCTGAGTATTATCCTCCTTCCAGTTGCTACCCTGACGTGCAATATTGCTTGTTCATTTTAATTTTCTTATTAAATATTGCACGACAGGATAGGAAGTTGAAAGGGAACAGTACTCAGAATACTCTGATTAGCTTGCCCGTTGTAACATATTTTTTTTGTCTCGCCAAAAAGGGGTTTACATTAATACTTTGGTATTCATTCACTACCTCTCTGAGCCGTACCAGGTCACGCCTAAGTAATAAACTTTTCTTCGGTTAATTGTTTTGTCTCTTGTATCCAT